GATGTTTTTCTCTCTTTGTCTTTTGTTGGTCTTCTGTCGGTCTCCTTATTTGGGCAAAGAAACTAGTTCTGGCCGGTTCTGTGTCCTGTCTCTATCTCCAAATGTAACAGTCAGTACCATTCAGTGCTATCCATATCATCCAGTTATGCAAACCATCAGCATGCACACCTTTCTTCAGCACTTTTCCATTTAGGACAGCATAACATAAACATTCAATAATAGTATAAATTGATATAGAAACTTAATATAATGAATATATTGTAAAGATTGAATAAATGTATTTACAAAATCTTATGCTAATTTCTATATCTATAATATCTATGCTAATTTGTAGCTAGTACTACCAAAACTACCACTAATCCTACTTCTATTGCAATCACTACTACAACTACTACAATAAACTATTTCCATCACCAATACCAGTACTACATCTTTAACAATACAGTGGAGCACCTGTACACAGTTAAACACCGCTGAGAATCAACAGCAGCTCCTGAAGAACACACCAGCTGCTGAGGCCATCTGGGGATGGTGTCATGTCTGTCTGTTTCCTTTTCCTGCTGTGTGGGGTAATCTGTGTGATCACACTCACCTGTCTGTAATTAGCTTCACTTGTGTCACCTGGTGCTCCCTGTGTATATATACCTCTCTCCCTCACCCTGCCCTTGTTGGGTCAGTGTAGTTGGATCAGTGTGGTTGGAGCAGTGTGGTTGGATCAGTGACTGTGTTGTGTATTGCAGCTGGTTAATGGTGTAGCTGTTCCTAGTCTAGTCTGTTTCTATGCTCAGTCAAGTTCCTAGTTTGTCCTGTTCTTGTGTAGAAGTGAGTTTTTGTTGTTTTTGCTCTTTCAAATAAACTACCTGCACCAGTACTGCATTTGGGTCCTGCCTGCTTCCTGCCATGTTGATGCCCCCACGTGACAGATGGACCAAAGAGAACTGATAAATAAATGAATAAACATTTAGTGGTCTGTGGATGATCTCGCCTGAGCTTCTGCTGAACTGTGTGTAGATCCAAAGCAGAATTTGGGAGAAGATGCTACTGTTGCCTTTCAATGTGTGAAATTGTTTGTTTTTTTTTTTACATGATTGACAGCTGTCAGTCATGGCCTTAGGGGGTGTACTCGAGAAAAAAAGGATCTTGGCTGCGTACATGTCTAAAGGTATTTTAGCTCGTTGAAAAATGTCCTTCTGGGCTTCCGTAGATCAAAGAAACCCAATCTCACTTTTCAACACCCAAAGCAGCTGTAAATGTGGACATGGATTCATGACCACATATAAGCTGGTACTGAACACCACTGGTTCTGACAGTCCAGAGTCACTCTTACTGTCAAAGGAAACCAGACCTACCTGTCTGCAGACGGAGGACGGTCATGGTGGGTTTTGCTGCCTTGGGTGTAGAAAGAGTCCGAGTGTTGGTACTGGTGGTGGGCGTGGATATGGGGGTAACCCTCTCCAGGATTGTGGGGGCAACTGTGACCATCATCGATTCCACTGTAAGAATACTCATCCTCGGACAACCTCTCTGGCGATCGGCTGACATCCAGAACCTCAGCGTAGTCACGTTCCCTAGCTTGACGTTCTCTCAGTTCCCTGGTTTTGGCCTGGATTCTGATGAGGCAGAAGAAAATGGTTCAACTGAGATTCAAAGTTTATTCTAGAATGGCCATCAAAGCTAAAGGTTGAGCTTATTTTTAGCCAAGGCTTTACTTTGTGGCTAATTCTGGTCATTTTATTTAAGTGCTCAACTTTAAAAACTGTCTACACAGTTAGATAGACTGAAGACTAACACAAAAAAGCTCTGCTCACTTTCTGTTCAGCTGACTGTGTTGCCACTGAAGAAAGTATCATTCAATTCATGTTGTTGTTTAATATTATTTATAATTTTTTTTTGTATATATAGTGCTTAGCATAAGTATTCACCTTCTTGGATGTTTTACAGTTTTATTGCTTTAATAAATCAATCATAGTCAATAAAATGTGGCTTTTTTCACACAAAAATGTATTGGAAAAAATTATTTAATGTCAAAATGAAAACAGAGTTCTATAAAGTAATGTTAATGAAATAAAATTATATAAAGAAAAATAATTGTTTGCATAATTATTCACCCCCTTTTAAATTTAATGGTCTTATTCAATAGAGGTCCCTCCAATTAGTGCCAATAGTCTCACAATTAGTGAAAAGAAGATGACCTGAGTGGTTTGGGGGTGTGTCTCAAGTGATTGAGGTATAAAACACCTATGTCTGAAGGGTCCAGAGACTGGTTGATCAGTATTCCTGGCTACCATTACACCATGAAGACAGAAGAACACTTCAAGCAACTCAGAGAAAGGGTTATTGAAAAGTACAATTCAGGGAATGGATACCAAAACATTTCCAAGGCATTGAAGCAGCAAAATCAATCAAGAAATTGAAGGAATATGGCACGTGTGCCAAGATCAGGCCATCCTTGTAAACTGAGTGACCATGCAAGAAGGAGACGAGTGAGAGAAGCCACCAAGACCCCTATGACTACTCTGAAGGTGTTACAAGCTTCAGCTGCTGAGATGGGAGAGACTGTGCATACAGCAACTGCTGCCTGGGTTCTTCACCGCTCAAACCTTTATGGGAGGATGGCAATGTGAAAGCCACTGTTGAAGAAGATTCATATTAGATCTCGACAAAGGCATGTGGACGACTCCATGGTCAAGTGGAAGAAGATTCTTTTGTCTGATGAGACCAAAATTGTGCTTTTTGGCCATCAGACAAGACGTCTGATTATAACCGGTTCTGTTCATAATCTTTATGGACAGAATTTCTATAATTGCGCAGCCAGGTGTTGGGTGGGGTCCAGTTCGGGAGCCATCGGATTTCATCTCTGCTTTTTGCAGATGATGTGGTCTTGCTGGCTTCTTTGAACCAAGACCTGCAGCATGCACTGGGGCGGTTTGCAACTGAGTGTGAAGCCGCTGGGATGAGAATTAGTACCTCTAAGTCTGAGACCATGGTCCTCAACCAGAAAAAGGTGGCTTGCACCCTCCAGGTCGGGGGAGAGATCCTGCCTCAGGTGGAGGAGTTTAAGTATCTTGGGGTCGTGTTTACAAGCGAGGGGAGGATGGAATGTGAGATTGACAGACGGATCGCTGCAGCGGCTGCAGTAATGCGGTCACTGTATCGGTCCGTTGTGGTGAAGAAGGAGCTGAGCAGAAAGGCAAAGCTCTCGATTTACCGAGCAATCTATGTTCCTACTCTCAATTACGGTCATGAACTCTGTCATGACCGAAAGAATTAGATCCCGGATACAAGCGGCTGAAATGAGCTTCCTTCACAGGGTGGCGAGACACTCCCTTAGAGATACGGGGGAGGAGCTCTGTCACCCGAGAGGAGCTCGGAATAGAGTCGCTGCTCCTTCACATTGAGAGGAGTCAGCTGAGGTGGCTTGGGCATCTCGGGAGGTGCTCGGGTCGTGCCCCACTGGGAGGAGGCCCAGAGGAAGACCCAGGACACGCTGGAGTGACTACGTCGCTTGGATAGCCTGGGAACGTGTCTGGGGAAAGGGAAGTCTGGGCGTCCCAACTCCAACTGTTACCGTTACACCCTGGATAAGCGGAGGATGATGGATGGAGACAAGACGTTATGTTTGGCGGAAACCAAACACTGCACATCACCAAAAACACCATCTCCACTGTGAAGCGTTAAATGAAAGCGTTATTTTTAACAAAACAAATGAAATGTATCTTTAATTTGTTTCAAAGATGTTTTGATTTCAGTTTAGGTGAAGAAACAAATGACCATGAGCAGCCAGATCCTCCACCACTGCAGCTCTACCTCCACAAAGTCAACACATCAAAACTACAGTGGTGGCTTAGTGGTTAAGGACACGGACTTGGGTCTGGAAGTCTTCAGGTTTGAGTCTACCAGCTGCAGAGGTACCACTGAGGTGCCCTGAGCATGGCACTGTCCACACACACACTGCTCCCTGGGCACTTAAAGCTGCCCACTGTTCACTTTGGTGATGGGTTAAAAGCAGAGGTCACATTTGGTTATGTGCAGTGGTGTGTGTCACAATGACAAGCAGTTTACTTTACTTTCCTTTCCTACAAGAAATGAGCACACCTCAAAGAGCCTACCCACCATCTTTGTTTTGATTGACAGCTGATGACAGCAATGAGAAAGTTCAAAGATTTAAAGCTGAAAAAACTCAAGTCTGAGTTTACAGAACTCTGCTGTGTCTCCAGGACAATACAGACAAACTCCAGCATAGAGAGGCTGAGTGAATGTGGTCTGGACTCTGTGGAGGAGAATCATGGTGTTAGAGGCTCTGTAGAAGGACAGAAGACCTGCTCTGTGGTCCAGGTGCACTCCTACTCTGGCAGAGGAATCAGGAACTGAGACTCCAGTCCAGATACTGTTATGACGGAAATGACAACTGATTTGGGAATATAAAAACCAAGATTTGTCATTGTCTCCAAACAAACATTGAACTGATTCTCCTGCTCTGTTGATATACTTGTATGTGACTGCTACTCTAACTCCTCCTCTCCACTCCACCTCCCAGTAACAACATCCAGACAGACTCTCTCTACTCAGGACCTGAGGATGACAACCAGTGAATCTGTCTGGATGACTAGAATAACACTTATCTTCACTCAGCACTGTTACTTTTCTATTTCCGTCAGATAATAACAGACATCTGTTTGCTGTGTTTGGATCCAGTGTGATTTCCTGAGAATATTGTAAGAATTCAGCTCTGGTGTGTGGTTCTGGTCCCGGTGCCTTTGAGATCTTAGTCCAGGTGTCAGTCAGAAGGAGAGAGGGGAGATAATACGGAAGACCGCTCAAGAAGTGAGGCCATACCATCAACATCGAGCAGGACGACTCAGAGTCCGACAAAGAAACTTACACCCAGGTCAGGCCTGCCCATCATGAGCTCTGGCCCCATCCTTCCAGCCCTGTGTATAATATGCAAGAAACAGGACGAATTCATCACAATGCAGACCTTACAGGAGTGGGCAAAGACCTCAGCTTGTACATAACACATAGGGATCAATGTCACTGTGTGACTGTAATGAAGTGTGTACAATCTGTTCATGCTGTTGAAGACCTGCAGTGTGATCATGAAGAATGTGACACAAGGGTGTTTTTGCATGCACAGCATGCTGCACAGGAGCACACAACTTTCATCATTAAGAGCCCTGACAGTGATGTGGGAGTCATTGCTGTGAGTCTGCAGACAAATTTACCTATGAAATAAAATTTATATTATTATTATTATTATTATTGTAATTATTATCATACCATGCAGCTTATATTTTTTCACAGGGACAGGCAACAGGACACACATCATTGACATTACCAAGGTGTCATCAGCTCTCGGAACCAGTGTGTTTAGCTTTGATTGGCATACATACACTATATTACCAAAAGTATTCGCTCACCTGCCTTGACTCATACTATGAACTGAAGTGCCATCCCATTCCTAACCCAGAGTTCAATATGATGTCGGTCCACCTTTTGCAGCTATTACAGCTTCAACTCTTCTGGGAAGACTGTCCACAAGGTTGAGGAGAGTGTTTATAGGAATTTTTGACCAGTCTTCCAAAAGTGCATTGGTGAGGTCACACACTGTTGTTGGTTGAGAAGGCCTGGCTCTCAGTCTCCGCTCTAATTCATCCCAAAGGTGTTCTATCGGGTTCAGGTCAGGACTCTGTGCAGGCCAGTCTGTGCAGGCCAGTCTGTGCAGGCCAGTCAAGTCCACACCAGACATTTTCTGTGGCAAGCGAGTGGGAAGAGTACCGTAAGGGTTTTAACAATCTGGGTGCTAACTTTAACTTGGACCACTCAAGATTTGCACTACTATGATTTGCAAATATGTATGCCATCTGTATGATCAGCCAGCTGCTGAAAATGTCAGTGAGGCTTGGTATGGCATCATCAGCCTCGCCAGAATTGTCTATTCCCCTTACATGTGATGCCCTCCATCAGCACTGCAAAATTATCAGGTTGCAGTCATGAGGTCCTGTCAAACAAAATATAGGTGCTCCATCACCTGCTGGATACGGTTGGCACCTAAAAGATGGAAACCTACATGTCACATCGATGAAAAGAAATCCGGCCCCTGACAATGTTTTGCATGTCATACACTGCAGCTGCAAGGAGAGTGCCTGTGAGACAGGTAGGTGTTGCAACTGTGCAAACACAAAGGAAATTGAGGAGGAGGAGAACTGCCCTTACACTGACAGTGAAGACTAACATGTCATGTGTAGCCTATTGCCTCAGAGTTGTATTGCAGTGGTTGCATTGTTAACATTACCATTCATTTTCTTATGCTGTTTTGTATTGTTTTATATATTGTACATATGTATATATGTTTTAATAAAGATTGTTTTTTATGGTTGATCAGTGTTGTATTTAGTTAGGTGGGAATAAATAAACATATGAATAAACAAATGGTCCTTGTCATTGATCAAAATGACTTAACAGAAAGTTCACCTTATCGTCTATTTGCCTCATTGTACTTCATGCAGGCGGCTATGTATAAAGCACTGTCACAGAATCCATTTGGCCCACTTTAGAAGACTTTTCGGAGAATTCCTCTCTATCAGTAATGTTAAGTAAAACCATAGAGGCAGCCATGTTGCTGGAGTGTTGACATCAATCAGCTACTTAATTGGTCTAGCACGATCATGTGTCAAACCATGCCACCACTCACGTAACCAAATCTTATTACGCACTGGAGAAACTAGTTTGGCATAAAATGCAATGGGCAGGATTTTTTTGCGACAAACGTTTTGCTATAAGTTTAACGTAACTCGTTCTTTTTATGAAGTTAAGATCATGTAGTTCCCAGACATCGTAGCGAGATGAAATGATAATAGTGTTCACTTTATGACCTAAGAACAGTAGAATCTTTCTTGGTTCAGATATTTCTGCTGAGCCATTGCACTTTCTCAAGGCAACTGGCAGACTGATTTACCTTAGAGCAGGACAAAGAACTTCACCTAATAATGTCAAAGGGAGGGGGTGAGTGTAGAATAATCTAGGCGGACTCTGTACTTGTTACTGTTTATGAGTTTATGAGGATTTATGCTTCATTGACTTTACCACAGCTGTTTTGATCATTTCTGTCATGTTGCTGACACACATTCTATTGTATGTAACTTGCTGATGACATTTATCATTTAAAAGTTAGGGTTAGCTCAAAATGTTCACTGTGTATTTAATAAACATTGTGATTTATATACTGTAATGTGACTTTATGTGATTGTGGGGGCACGGCGGAGGTTAGCGCTCAGCTGCAGCAGGGAGAGCACGAGAGTGGCGACGCAGGTGCAATTCGAGTAATCAAGCCTCTCCATATATTAGTAGGAGCCGGGGCCGAGGACAGGGAGGAGCGGACAGAGAAGTGTGTGCTGGCGCAACAAACAAACAAACAAACAAACAAAAACAACAACAACAACAAAAAGTCTGTTGAACTATCATCTGTGTCGGCGTGTGTCAAGGGAGAATCTACCTGCTACAGTGATGATTTAAGAGAGTTGATGTGCCGTACATTTTTTTAAATGATATTTTACCTACTGTATGTACATCCAGTCGCTCATTCCAATAAAGAAATCCAAACTTTGTTGTTCTTATGTTGAAGGTCAAGCTCAACAAAAAAAAAGTTTTCAGGACAACAAACACTTGAACATTAGAGCTAACATCTCTTTGAACCTGACCATGTCCATCAATAAGATCTCCAATAAACAACAAAAAAGAAATCACTTGTTTCATTTGTTCGTCACCTAACTGGGAAATTTCTAAAACAAAGTTTAAGAGAAAGGAAAGAAAAGCAAAGAATAAATGAGGCAAGAAGATCTTACGATGTTAATGTTAGGAACACATTGACACACATTCCAACTGCAGGAAGTGAGATATCCAAGTCTATATCATCTACCTTCATGAATAAGAATGAATGTTGGCTGTGATGATGGTCCACTGACATAAAAACATTATCCAGCTGTAAATGAACAAACTAAGACTGAATCTGGACTTTTGACTAACCTCTGACCTGAGCACTGACACAGTGAATCAGTCTCTGTCATAGTTTCAACAACAGGCAATGGTCAATATTTAAACCTGTGCTATAAAGTGCATTGAGTGGTTATCAAGATAAGGCCCACACTATCAAACAGTGGACGTGTCCATCCACTGAGGTCCACTGCTCTAGTTTTCCTAAATACACAAATATATGTTGTATTTTAGGGCTGCAAATCAAAGTCATGTGCAGTACTTCAACTACTCCTCACACCTCATACTAACTCTTAAAATATTTGTCTCTCCTACTACCAACACCATGACCACAATAAAAACTCACCCAAACTCAATCCATGCCTGAATTTTAATCTGACCCAAATTCTAATCCCAACTCCAAACTAAACCATGAACCTTTAATATTCTGTTACTCAGTAAACTTGCCAAAAGTCAGTGTCCCCGCATTGAATGGACTTTTACAAAATATGTCCTCACAAGCATAGATACACCAGGAACAAAAACCGAGTACATGCACACACGGACACACACACAGTGAAAAAAGGAATGTGTCAGAGCTGAATTTACCAACTCACTGACTCACGTTATCCTAATAGAAATCAGATTCCCTACCCACCACTAGAGAGAGCCCATGTACCACCAAATGATGGAGTACCATAGTTTGAGAACCACCACTCTAAAGCCATAGTATCTTAGGTCTACGCAGGAGGCTTACCTCTCCTGCTCCATCCTTATCTTCATCGTCTCCTCCTAGGAAACCTGCGTCTCCTCCAACCTCCATTTGCTGGATCATTTTCAATCCATCTTTTCCCCCTGGCGTTCGTCTTTCCGGTGTTTCCCAAATCTGCATTAGAAGAGATCAGTTCTTCATTAGCACATTTAGTGTCATTGCTGAGAAGCAGATATGAGAGAAGAAGTGAAGAGTTGTTGTAGCTGTGGAACCAAAATTCTTCTGATCTGTCCAAAATAAACACACACACACACACACACACACACACACACACACACATATATATATACAGTGGGTACGGAAAGTATTCAGACCCCTTTAAATTCGTCACTCTTTGTTTCATTGCAGCCATTTGCTAAAATCAATTTCCTTTCCATTTCTCATTAATGTACACTCAGCACCCAATCTTGACAGAAAAAAACAGAAATGTAGAATTTTTTGCAAATTTATTAAAAAAGAAAAACTGAAATATCACATGGTCATAAGTATTCAGACCCTTTGCTGTGACACTCATATTTAACTCACATGCTGTCCATTTCTTCTGATCCTCCTTGAGATGGTTCTACACCTTCATTGGAGTCCAGTTGAGTTTGATTAAACTGATTGGATTTAATTAGGAAAGCCATATATCTATATCTATATGTCTATATAAGACCTTACAGCTCACTGTGCATGTCAGAGCAAATGAGGTCAATGGAACTGCCTGAAGAGCTGAGAGATAGAATTGTGGCAAGACACAGATCTGGCCAAGGTTACAAAAGAATTTCTGCAGCACTCAAGGTTCCTAAGAGCACAGTGGCCTCCATAATCCTTAAATGGAAGACGTTTGG